AAAAAGAACTTCTCATCCCATTACAAGGTAAGTTCTAGAAGTGTAGACTTGGCCTGACTTGTTTGCTGCTGTATCCCCAGCTTCTAGCAGTGTCTGGCGCATAGTAGGCCCTCAATAAATATTTGGTGAATGAATAGATTGCTGATAAACCATATTATCCTACCTGCTTGTATATATTTAGTTCAGAACGTCAACAGAATTCATTTGTAGAGTGCAACGCTCCAATATAGGTTTATACTGAAGTCTGACTGTGGCAAAGGCTCTAGGGATTTGGGATTACCAACCGTAAAGTAAGAGTAACTTCACATCCCAGGCTGATCAAGCCTTGGCTACATCACATGCAGGTAAGCAAGAATTTCAAGTCATTATCCCCACACATGTAGACAGTGCCAGTGCCAACAACAACAAGCCATCAAAATTAAACCTTAAACTTTTGGAAAAAAAGCTAATATGTTTATTATGCTCCTTCAAGCTTAGAGGCTTAACTATCTGTGGGAAGGGCCTATAATTATGATAAATTACTTATGACTGGAAGGCAACTTATAAAGGCATCTGCCCTTTTAAGAAACCTTTAAAGAACCAGCAACAGTCCTGTGGGGCAACAATAAATCGCTGGTTTGGGAGCTCAACTTTGACAGCTCTACCTGGGAAGGAAAAGAATTATTGTCACCTGTCCTCGATTTCCTGACCCTGCAAATATCAGCAACCTCTGAAGTCCAGAATCCTAGTCTAGCCACACAAGTCATGGGGGCCAATGATTGCCCCAAGGCAGAGGCGGAAGAGAAGAAACGCGAAGGAAACGAACTGGAATGGAGATTTGCAGCTTGTGAGGATGACATCATCAATAATTTCCTCAAGTGTCACTAACCCTCATGGCATATGACTGATGGGCGTTCCTGACAAACTACAGGCTCATTATATTCAAGTAGCTTCTTGGTTTCAGAGCTGATAATGTCTGGGCTTAAGTATGATTTGTCCTATCATACAAGTCAGGCGAACTGATGCCTTCCTTACTGGGAACTGGCTCTGAGGCAAGGGGCCCACGAATCTGCCTGAACACAAATAATACTTGGACATCTGAAACACTTTTAAATGGACAAAGTGCTCTCACGGACACTATCTCTGTTTCTCCTTACGACTTGTACGAAGAAACTTAACATATAAAGATAATTTTAGAAAACGACTTCAATTCATAACTATAGCTTTCAAGAATAGCCTGTGCTTTGTAAAATGCAGTGTTGCACAGGGGTGCCTCCATAACACCTCTACGTCAGGACAGCATCTTGTTTACACACATGAAGATCATCCTTGATTGGACACTCTCCAGAGGTAACAAACAAAATAAAACACAAATTTTAGTCCTAAAATTCTAGCGGTGGAATTCATCCTTTGGGAAACACCTAGTTGGTTCTTCTAGGAAGATAACTAAGTTACATGGGACAAAATGTACCCTCGTTTTTCCCTTCATTATCGCAAAGACTCCCCAAAAGCGTTTTTGTAGTTTTTCAAGGAAGAAAACACACACACAAAAGGTTAACGTATTGCTTTTATATGTGATCCCATCTTCCTAAAACACAATTCTCCCAATCTCATTATCTTCTGTCCCTCTCCGGCTTTACTGGTTAAGTGGAGGTATAATGGGGTCCTTATCTTTATAGCCATTTACTGCCTTATTTATGTATTTATGATTCTTTGCTGCCTTCTAGCCTGAGTCTCCCTGTGTCAGGAACAAAGTGCCACACAAATCACCAGCCTGGAATAAGAGGAGACAAGTTAAAACCTCCCAGGATGATTCTGTAGACACTTGGACTCCCTGAGTCTGTAGAGAGCTTGGTATTTCAAAGGTCAGTTTTGGGTCTCTCCACTTTGATGACTAATGTTAAATTGTTTGACTTGTTACAAAAATATTTAGCTGTCCTTATTTACATATTTTCATCCACAGTGCACACAGTAGGCACATATTTGTTGAACAGAATCCCTAGATGGATAAGAAGTCAGGAAGAAGAACCCAAGGCCCTTTTCCAACACATTATCTCTCGAGAGTTGAGGAAAGGTAAAAGCACACCCTAATTTGTAGATGTTTCTGTGCATTCCTTTCTGACTTGAAACTATTCATCTGTTTAGAAAATAAAGAGAGAACACACCACACAGTGTCAACCACACAATGGGGAAATTCCAGGATCACCAAGAAAACACCATTATCCTAAGGCACACACACACACACTTTACTACTGGTTTCCACACAGGAGACTTCAAGAACTTTTGTCTCCCCACCCACTGCATAACCCTCCAGAAAAGGCAAAGGCAGAATTCAGAATTTAGAATCTAAGATTCTGTATCTTGGATTCATATCTACCCTGTTGGAGAAGTAGTCCAAAGACTATGTTGGCCCAGAGAAA